GCCCCAGTAACTCCATCCCCCAAAGAGCCCTCAGCTGCCCCAACCCCCAAGGAGGCCCCAACAACTTCATCCCCCAAAAGAACCCCAGCCTCCAAAGGGGCCCCAACAACTCCATCCCCCAAAGAGCCCTCAGCTGCCCTGGCCCCCAAAGGGGCTCCAGCAGCTCCATCTCCCACAGAGTCCTCAAGTACCCCAGCAACTCCATCCCGCAAAGAGCCCTCAGCTGCCCCAGCCCCCAAAGAGGCCTCAGCAATTCCATCTCCCAAAGAACTCTCGGATACCACAGCAACCCCATCCCCTAAAGAGCCCTCAGCTGCCCCAGCCCCCAAAGGGGCCCCAGCAACTTCAGCCCCCAAAAGAACCCCAACCCCCAAAGGGGCCAGCAACTCCACATCCCCCAAAGAGCCCTCAGCTGCCCCAACCCCCAAAGAGGCCCCAACAACTTCATCCCCCAAAAGAACCTCAGCCTCCAAAGGGGCCCCAACAACTCCATCCCCCAAAGAGCCCTCAGCTGCCCCAGCAGCTCCATCCCCCAAAGAGCCCTCAGATACCCCAGCAACTCCATCTCCCGAAGAATCCTCAGATACCCCAGCCCCCAAAGGGGCCCCAGCAACTTCAGCCCCCAAAAGAACCCCAGCCCCAGGGGCCCCCCTCAAAGAGCCCTCAGATACCCCAGTCCCCAAAGGGGCCCCAGCAGCTCCATCCCTCAAAGAGCCCTCAGATACCCCAGTCCCCAAAGGGGCCCCAGCAGCTCCATCCCTCAAAGAGCCCTCAGATACCCCAGTCCCCAAAGGGGCCCCAGCAGCTCCATCCCCCAAAGAGCCCTCAGCTGCCCCAGTCCCCAAAGGGCCCCCAGCAACTCCATCTTCCAAAGAGCCCAAAGGGGCCCCAGCAGCTCCATCCCTCAAAGAGCCCTCAGCTGCCCCAGTCCCCAAAGGGGCCCCAGCAGCTCCATCCCTCAAAGAGCCCTCAGATACCCCAGTCCCCAAAGGGGCCCCAGCAGCTCCATCCCTCAAAGAGCCCTTAGATACCCCAGCCCCCAAAGGGGCCCCAGCAACTTCATCCCCCAAAAGAACCTCAGCTCCCAAAGGGGCTCCAGTAACTTCATCCCCCAAAAAAACCCCAGCCCCCAAAGGGGCTCCAGCAGCTCCATCCCCCAAAGAGCCCTCAGATACCCCAGCCCCCAAAGGGGCCCCAACAACTTCATCTCCCAAAAGAATCCCAGCCCCCAAAGGAGCCCCAGCAGCTCCATCTCCCAAAGAGCCCTCAGATACCCCAACCCCCAAAGGGGTCCCAGCAACACCAACTCCCAAAGAGCCCTCAGCTTCTCCAGCCCCCAAAGGGGCCCCAGCAACTCCATCTCCTAAAAGAACCCCAGCTAAAACTCCATCCCCCAAAGAGGTCTCAGCTACACCAGGCCCCAAAGTGGCTTCTACTCCTTCAGCTGTGACTCCTCCAGCCCCCAAAGAGCTCTCAGCTACCCCAGCCCCCAAAGGGACCCCATCAACTTCATCCCCCAAAGAGCCCTCAGCTGCCCCAGCCCCCAAAGGGGCCCCAACAACTTCATCCCCAAAGAAAACCCCAGCCCCCAAAGGGGCCCCAGCAACTCCATCTCCTAAAAGAACCCCAGCTAAAACTCCATCCCCCAAAGAGCCCTCAGCTGCCCCAGCCCCCATAGGTGGCCCAGCAATCCCATCCTCCAAAGAGTCCCCTGCTTTACCAGTTCCAGTCACATGTCCCTTGGGATCCACTGCCCCTCAGGCATCTAAAGGGCTCCCAATAAAGGAAGGCTCCACAGCTCTCAAAGCAGTACTTACTGGCCCAGCTTCAGAAAATGCACCAGTCATCATAGCTCCCACTCAGAAAGGTCCACCAGCCAAGAAGAGTTCACCTCCAGTGTGCTCAGATCCCTCAGCCAAGAATGGTACTAAAGGACCCCTTTCTACAGTGGCTCCTCCAACCCCTCTACTGGCAGTCTCCACTCAGAAAGGCACTTCTCCAAAGGGTCCCTTGGCTCCTCATCCAAAGTCTGAGACATCTACGCCTCTAGCAACAGCGGCTTCTGAGAAGGTCCTGCCTAAAGCTGGATCAGCACCTGTCTCTCCAGCACCCACCCCATCAGTCTCTCTGCCTCTTGCTCCCTCCCCAGTTCCCCCTCTGCTTCCTAAACAGCAACCTCTGCCGTCCTCACCTGGGCTGGTGCTGGAATCATCCTGTAAGCCCTCAGCCCCCGCTGATGAGGATGAGCTGCCGCCTCTGATTCCCCCGGAACCAATCTCTGGGGGAGTGCCTTTCCAGCCGGTCCTCGTCAACATGCCCACCCCCAAACCTGCTGGAATCCCTGCCCCAACCCCCTCTGCCAAGCAACCTGTTCTGAAGAACAACAAGGGTATTTGCCTTGGTTTGCTGTGTGCATGGTGTGTCGCCCACACTCCTCCTGGGGGCTACCCACCATTACTAACCCTAGGATGCGCCACTTTCTCCAGAATATCTGCTTGTGTTTGAACATAGAACATAGAATTAGAATGATCATTTTAAGTGCAACAGCTCTAGGAATGTGGAACAATCTTGGTTTTCATCATTTCAGATAGTCCATTGTGTATCATCTTGTGTAATGGGGATCCAGACTAACCCTGAGTTTCCATCATTTTACCTAACTGATGTGATGTTGAAAACCAAAGACCTTCTAGATCTTAATCTGCTCTAATTTCTACCACATCACTAACCTTGTCCCTGGGCCTGGGACTTGCTAAAATATTGGGAAGCTATTGAATATTGGAACTATTTGAATTTCTGTTCACTTCTTGGAATTAGTAAGGACCAGTGCCCAGGGACTTCCTTTGTTTAAAAGACCTATTTTTCCTAGCCTGAGAATGGTGTAGGTATATGCTTTTTTCCCTCAGTAGTCTATTGTGCTTGGCCTTTCAATTGAGGAAAACTTAAAATATATGAATTATGTTTGAAAGAAATGGGAGAGGTCACAGGACGATAACTAGTAAAGGTGACTATTGTAACTGTAGGTTGGCATCATTGAGAGAATCTTTAAGTACTATTTATTAGATCAAATTGCTGGGGTCAGTGGCTTGAAAATACGGCTAAATGTGTGTACATAACTGCTTCTGGCCTCCCCAAATGCAGTTTAAAGGATAAGGGGAAAGTTCCCTTCCTCATCTGCTGCCACAATGTGAAAGTGTTTTTCACTTCCGTGTATCTGCAGACACCTTGTCTGCCAGAACCTTTCTGGGATGGTTGGGCTATTGGATAGTGGTTGGAGTTACATAGGTCATTGGTGTTCGCCTATGCCAAGAAGTGAAGGCCTTGAGGGAAATGAAGCAGTTATAGCATATAAACTGTTCAGCTGAATCTAGTAATTACCTCTCATTTCTGGGGCTGGGTCTTTAAGAATATATACACACTAGTTTGTGACTAAGTAGGGGGCTATCAAGCTGACTTTATACAAGTCAGTTGATTTACATTTAACTTTACAAGGTTTAAAATAAGCCAGTGACCTCTAGTCCAAGCAGGCCATGGTGTGACAAGCCTCCTTTTAATCTCCACTAAAAATTACTAAAAATTATTTTGCCTCCTAGGGTCTGGAACAGAATCTGACAGTGATGAATCAGTACCAGAGCTCGAAGAACAAGATTCCACACAGGCAACCACACAACAAGCCCAGGTAGGTATTCTCTTACTCATTGGTGTAAATACTTGGAATAAGGAAGCACTGCAGAACCAGGGTTGACCAGAGAAGATGACTTACATATCTGGAGCTGTAAACTTTCATAAAGGGAAAACCACAGGGGGATTGTGGAATCCAAGTCTTACGTTTCAGCTTACTGTTTTATTTTAGCTGGCGGCAGCAGCTGAAATCGATGAAGAACCAGTCAGTAAAGCAAAACAGAGCCGGAGTGAAAAGAAGGCACGGAAGGTAATACTTTAAGTTATAGACAAGGACTGGTGCCCAGGGACTTCCTTTTTTTTTTTTTTTAAGACCATTTCTGATGAAGCAGCTTCAGGGGGACAGACTCTGGGTGGGAGTAGAATCGTGTTTAGTTAAAGTAACAGAAGCTGTTGTGGCAGGAAACCCAGAAGTCCTGGGAATCCATTCTGTATTCTTACATAAACTTTTTTTAGCCCAGAAAAAGACTTTCTTTTTGGATGTGGTATTACTGTGGTCCTTACTTCCTGGCGCTGCTTCTAAAAAATTTGAAAACCTGATGTTCTTTTGTTCCTTAGGCTATGTCCAAACTGGGTCTTCGACAGGTTACAGGGGTTACTAGGGTCACTATACGGAAATCTAAGAATATCCTCTTTGTCATCACAAAACCAGATGTCTACAAGAGCCCTGCTTCAGATACCTACATAGTTTTTGGTGAAGCCAAGGTAAGGAAAGTTTTCATGGGAATTTGCTCTAGACCAGGGTTTCTCAAGCTCAGCACCATTGATATTTTGGGTCAGTAATTCTTTGTTGTGGAAGGGCTGCCCTATGCATTATAGATGCTTTATTTAACAGGATCACACCCAGTAGTAATTTTAAAAAAGCAAAAACAAAAAAACTCCAGATATTGGACAGATATCCCCTCCAGTTGAAAATCACTGCTTTAAACATAACCTACTTCTACAGTGATCTATAATCTGAGTGAGGGCAAACTATTTAAAGCTATATAGCTATAGTAAGTTAACCTGAAGTGAGTTTAGAGTGCAAGTTTGGAAAATATGTAAATGATTTCTTTCACTTACTACAGACAGATCTGTTCACATGAATCTCTTATTTTCTGTTCTACAGATTGAGGATTTATCTCAGCAAGCACAGCTAGCAGCTGCTGAGAAATTCAAAGTTCAAGGTGAAGCTGTCTCAAACATTCAAGAAAACACACAGACTCCAACTGTACAAGAGGAGAGTGAAGAGGAAGAGGTATATAAGGAAATCTTTTATACTTTTAATTCTCTCCAGGTAGTAGTATGTTTGTATTGGTGGGTGGGTTCTATATTGTTTTAGTCTCTTAAGTCCCATTGAGTGAAATAGTTTTTGAGTTAAGACTGACCCCAACAAACTATACTGAAGTTGTTCTTGCCTTTAGTTTATTACATGTGTTTTTCCCTCTCTCTCAGGTTGATGAAACAGGTGTGGAAGTTAAGGACATAGAATTGGTCATGTCACAAGCAAATGTGTCAAGAGCAAAGGCAGTCCGAGCCCTGAAGAACAACAGTAATGATATTGTAAATGCTATTATGGTAAGTGTCCAAGCCTTGATTCCTGACTCCCTGGAGTGACCTGACCAATTATGGGTGACTTGATTTTCTTATGTTTATTATCAGCCAATTAGGAAACCTCATTCCAAAGCCTGTCTTGAGTTGCCTTAAATTTTAGTGACCTGAATTCTGTCAGTTTGCCTATTATACCTCTGATTATCTCTTTTCTCTTACAGGAATTAACAATGTAACCATCTAAAAAGGAAGACCCTTTTTTGTGTGTTTCAAAAGAGTTACTGCAGCTTGGTTTGAAATTTGTACTGTTTCTATCATTAATAAAGTTATGGCTTCTTGTGGGATGAACTCAGTGGGTGCTTGATCTCTTCCCCCCAGAAAGCAAAAAGACTCTAGAAATAAAAGCACATTTATTACTCTTAAGACCTCAGCTTCAGTTGAAAAGATTTAATGCCACAGATTATCCCTTAAAATCTCAGCCTTTTCCTTTCTGGTAAGAAGGAAAGTATTGTATGTACCAGGCTATCTGTTAAGACCTTTTTTTCTTCTTTTTAATCTTTATTGTTGAAAGTATTACATATGTCCTCTTTTATCTCCCATTGACACCTTATAGCTCACCACTGGCCTTTGCCACCCTATTGTCTAGGACCTTTTTGTCTTCAGAGACTACAACTTAATTGTTATATTTCTTGTTTTCAGTTTCTTTCCCAGAAGTTAAGCATTATCATATGCTGATTCTTCTTTATTTAATAATCAGCTCCTTCTCTAACCTACAGTCTTTCTGAACACTTTGGACCTTATCTTTCCTTTATGAGAGGCAGTGCACATTGGTTACATTTTGACATGTAAGAGCTTGATAGAGGATTGGAGAGATTGCATCATGGATGTGATGAAAAGATCACACTTTGTAGAACATCAGAAGCTACCTTATGAAGGGAAGGATTTTGATTATTATATACAATGCAAACACTCGGCTCTCTCACATTTTAATCTGCAAAGTAAATTATGATTAGGGTAGCCTTAATTATGCTAAGACAATGAGTGAAAACCAGAACTGTACCAGGCAAACGTACATGTGATTACCCAGTTTATGATAAATATAAATAGTGCTATAGAAGTCCTAAGAAGAGTAAAGTTAAACTTTCTGGGTTTAGGTTGTAATATGGTCTGGGGTAAAGCAAGGAACTAAAATTTGGGAATAGGAAGACTATAAGTAATTTAAAGGAAGAATCTAAAATGAATAAGTGATACACCTAGAAGGAATGTTAGAAAGGAAGATTAACATAATGGAAGATTTTTGGATCTAAAACTTATAGACATTTTATTGAATCCAGTCTTCTCAGTTCCTATGAGAGTATTATTTTAGTGATGTGAAAGTTAAGTACCAAAGAGGTTAAATAACTTCCCCAAAGACAGTCACTAAAAGTATTGTATATACCTTTTCTTTGTGGCAGGCTATCCTGGAGAAGCACAAATTGACTCCTGACTGGGAATGATGTCCTGCTTCCATTTCACTGGGATAGAACAGATTAGTTTTATTAGGCTAACAATAGGCCCCTAGGCTGCCAAATCTGAGACAGCCAGTAATTCTCACTTCAGGAAGAAACTTAGGGATACTGTATTAACTCAAAATTTCCTCATCCTTCCTTCTGTACAGTTAACAAACTGCCAATTCTTGGTTACTTTTTTAGAGAATTGTATTGTTCAAGGCTATTACAGTCACCAGTGCTGTAGTTCTGTTTCTTCCCACCTCAAGGACCTTGCTATTGCTAACTCTTTCTAACATTGATTCCTTTCCCTTAACCATTTTTCCCACCATCCTTGAAATGTACAACTAACTTTCTTGGTCACAGAATGATTATGGAGTGTATAGGTTAAACCTTTTGACGAGGAATTATTCCTTCCTGGTTCTCAAACTGATTAAATACCTGTGTTCAAATATTCGGTAGACCATTTAACAATGATACCTTAACGTCTGGCTTCATCTATAAAAATAGGCCTACTACAAAACGTATAGGATTGTTGAAAGTATTTGCTAAGAATCTGAAACTGGCACAGGTTTACTAAATGACCCTTATTTTTTAGGGGGGGGCAGGGGATGTAGTAGACCAGTTTTAGTTCCTTAGCTATAGTCTCACCATGTTTCTACCACTCACTTAAAAATTGATTTTTTAAATTATTAAATATTTGAAAGCATGTCTTCCTGCAAATTGCTTTTCACTTCAACTTTATTTCCAAGAACTATCAATGGAGATAGATGTAGTTCTTTCCATTACCTATCCAATCCACTGTAGTCTGGCTTTTAACCTTTACCTCTCCACCAAATAAATAGTTCTCGTCAGGGTCACCTAGTTGCTAATTCCAGGGGACACTCTTCATGCATGGCTACATTTGTCTTTTCCTTCCTCAACTTAGTGTCTTTAACATCATTCTTGGTTTCTCTCAAATCTGATTCATTTGAGATCCACAAAATTAGTTTCATTATCTACCCCATCTAAATTTTTCCATATATATTTCCTGCTAACATGAACGACACAGCTATCCATTTGGTCATACAAAAAGGAAACCTAGTCTTTGGAACTAACGATGTTGGGGAAATGATATCCATGAGTAAAAGAATGAACTACAAGTGGATCAAAGACCTAAAACCATAAAACTCAAGAAAATTGGAAAAGCTTCATGTCATTAACACCAAAAATAGGCAACAACAACAAAATTGGATTTCACCAAAATTTATCTGTCAAAGGACACAAGTCAACAGTAATAAGGCAACACACAGATTGAAAAATACTTGGCAATAAGGGATTAATATTCAGAATATATAAAGAACAAAACATTTAAAAATGGGTCAAGGACTTAAAATGTACCACTCATGCATTAGAAAGATGACTATCAAAAAATGAGTTGCCCAGCCAGTGTGGTTCAGTGGATTGAGCACTGTCCTGTGCACCAGGATGTCATGGTTTAATTCCAGTCAGGGCACATGCCAAGGTTGTGGGCTCAATCCCCAGTAGGGGGCGTGCAGGAGGCAGCCAATGAATGTTTCTTAAAATCAAAAACATTTTTTTAAATGAGTGTTGGTAAAGATGTAAAATTAGAACCTCTGCACTGTTGATGGGAATATAAAGTGGTGCAACTGCTATGGAAAGCAGCATGGGAGTTTTCAACAATTACCATGTGATCTAGCAATTCCATTTCTGGGTGTGTGTGTTTTTTTTTAATATGTTTTATTGATTTCAGAGAGGAAGGGAGAGAGAAACATCAATGATGAGAGAGAATCATTGACTGCCTCCTGCACACCCCACAAAGGATTGACCCTGCAAACCAGGCATGTGCCCTGACCCAGAATCAAACCATGACCTCCTGGTTCATAGGTCAGTGCTCAACCACTGAACCACATCAGCCAAACCACTTCTGGATATTTAATTGAAAGCCTCAGAGACATGTACACCCAATCAGCATTATTCACAGTAGCCAAAAAGTAAAAGCAACCTAAGTGCTCCTCACAGAGGAATGAATAAACAAAATGTGTGTGTATATATCCTATATAATAAAAGGCTAATATGCAAATAGACCAAATGGTGAAACAACCAAACAACCAGTTGCTATGAGGTTCGCTGACCACCAGGGGGCGCACATGGAACATGATGGGCATCACCGTGGTGGGCCAGTAGAGCAGGTGAGCAGGGGCACCAGACCAAGGCAGAACTCAGGTTGCTGTCATTGGGGCGAGCCTCTGATGGTTACTGAAAATTCTTTGCTCCTGTGTGCCACGGTACTGCCCAGCACTCGCACCTGCTGCCAGTGCAGGAGCCACTGCTCATACCTACTGCCGGCGCTGGCCCAAATCACTACCAAGCAGGGCTGCTGGCAGAGGAGCTGGGGGGGGAGGGCACGGAGGATGGGTCGAGACCCACCCCTGTGCCCACCGCAGCCTCATGGCCTATAGTTCCTTTCAAGGTGCACAAATTCATGCACTGAGCCCCTAGTTATATTTATAATGGGATATTATTCAGCCTTAAAAAAAGGAAATTCCACAACATGGATGAACCTTGAGGACATTAAGCTAAGTGAAATAAGCCAATCACAAACAAAAACAAATATGATTCCACTTAGATTAGTCAAATTCATAGAGACCAAGTAGAATGGTGGATGCTGGGGGCTGAGAAAAATTGTTTAATGGTGCAGAATTCCAGTTGCAGAAGATGTAGTAGTTCTAGGGATGGATAGTGGTGATGGTTGGAAAACAATGTGAACATACTTAAGTAATCCCACTGAACTGTACATTTTATGTTAAGTGTATATTTTTATTTTTTTAATTAAATCTTTATTGTTGAAAGTATTACACATGTCCCCTTTTCCTCCCATTGCCCCCTTCTAGCCTGCCCCCATCCCGTGCCGTAGGCCCTCAACTACCCTATTGTCTGTGTCCATGGGTTATGCATACAAGTTCTTTGGTTGATCTCTTCCCACTCACCCACCCAGTTTTAAAGGAAAGAAACCTGTGTCATCCTAATCCTGTCACAGGCCCCTTTTTCATAGACATTCCCTACCAGATTTTCACAATATTTCTGTTTATCCCCCTCTTCATTCTTTTTTTTAAAATATATTTTATTGATTTTTTACAGAGAGGAAGGGAGAGGGATAGAGAGTTAGAAACATCGATGAGAGAGATCGACCAGCTGCCTTCTGCACACCCCCCCAGTGGGGATGTGCCCGCAACCAAGGTACATGCCCCCGACCGGAATCGAACCTGGGACCCTTCAGTCCACAGGCCGACGCTCTATCCACTGAGCCAAACCGGTTCGGCCCCTCTTCATTCTTAATGTCATTGCCTTAATTAGAACTGCCTGGATAGGCTATTGATATAGTCTTTTGTTCTACCCTCCACTCAGAATCTGTCTACGAACTTGCCTCCATAAGGTGGGCTGGTTCTAAAATCCTCTCCCACTAAAAGCCCATTGAATAAAGCAGCAACTTTCAAACTTTAAATCATTTAAGTCATTAAACATTTTGTTCAAAATAAGTCAAATCAAAATTCTAGCCCTGGCCAGTGTGGCTCAGTTGGTTGTGTGTCATCCTGTGCACCAGAAAGTCACTGGTTTGATTCCCCGTCCGGGTACATGCCCAGGTTGTGGTTGGATTCCCAGGTGAGTGTGCAGGAGGCAACCAATTGGTGTTTCCCTCTCACATCAATTTTTCTCTATCCCTCTCCCTCTGTCTCTAAAATCAATAAAAACTTTTTTAAAAATCTGTTAAACTGGTTCAAGAACTAGGTCTAAAGCCTTGCATACTCAGTCGATCTTACATACTTCTCTCATTGGAATAGAGGATGAAAACAAGTGGGA